TTTTTATCATTTTTATTTTTACTGCTTGATGTTAGTAATATAAGGTGATTTATATACAGTGCCATATTAAATTGATAGCTCTTGCTGGGTGAACATACAAGCACTATCTTTCTTTTCTTTAAATGTGCTGAATTTTGTGTTGGAGAAGCCTGGCAAGTCTTTTCTCCCAGTCAGGGGTCTGAAGAAAGCGAGTAAGTGTAGATAAAACCAGCTTGTTTAATCACTGAAACACAGGAAAAATTAAAATACATTTTTTGCTTGTAAAGTAGAGAAAAGCAATAAAAACAACGCCAGACGGTTAATGCCTCTCTTGTACCTTTCATTTCAAAGACCTCAGAAGAACATCAAGAAGAATAAAGGCAAAATCTATTCCCTATTGGCATCATTATAAATGTTGTATCCTCTAAAACTCCAAAGACATCCAAGAAGAGTAGAAGAATAAATGGCACTGAAATAAAGAAAGTCTCTCTGGAGCTTTGTTCAATCGGCTTTGTTAGAATTCACTCAAATAGGATGATTATAAGAAAAGATCTCATTTGTTTCAACATTAAAGGAGCAAATTAATATGTGGCAAGCTGCTAATAATTGCCTCATTATGTAGTGAATGGGCATTGCGTCCAATTTACAGAATTACAATGATATTGTTAAAGTAACAATTGGAAAGTTTAGTCTGAGTTTCCTAACTCTCTGTGTGATTAGTTGTGGGATTCAGAATGAAACAGAGTTGGTGGTTGGAGTGAGCTCTCCAGTGCACCACTGGCCTACAGTGCTAAGAAGTCACAGGAGAAATTAAGCTTTTCGTTAGTGGAACTCCATCTGCATAGGTCCTGAGCTGGATTTGATCCAGCTGAAGAATAAATCTGACAGTCCCTGCTGAGACTGGAGCTGGTCCGTCAAGACATTGTTTTATTGAACTCCACTGACTTGGGCTGAAGTCTTGGCCAAGTGGTTGAGAGACCTGGCCTGGGGGACCTCAGCGTGGGTTTTCAGCAGACCTACAGGTCTGTGGTTAAGGAACTTGGTGATCCAGGATCTGTGCCATGGGGAAACCCACCCGTACAAATGGTCCTGTAGCTGGAATTTCGCTCCCTTGGTGGAGACATTTGAAATGGTGGGGGAGTTGTTTCAAACTGGGCAAGTAAGCAATTTTCCAAATATTGAAATCCTGTGTGTAAGAGAATCATGTTTTGTGACCTACTTAAGTTAGATTTGCTTGTGACCTTTTCTAATTCTGGCTGATTTTGTTATTTAATGATTTGACCTTTGATTCTGTGAAGCCACTTCATTGCTAAATGCAAAGATTTAATAACTAGAACTGTTTGATAAGTGACCTTTATTACACAGCTATTTCTCTTTACTAGAAAAATGGCACTGTTTTGCAAGTTCTAATTCACAGTTTTAATTATCTTTTCTATTGTCTAAAAGCTTGCACAGGAAATGGAAAGGTCAGACATTTCATTTTCTTTACTGATTAAAATATAAGCGTTCCTCAACAGTTACAATGTATCATTCAGGCAAAAGATGGGACAATTTGTCAGAATCACGCCCAGCTCCTCTACTGAGGACTTCTACATCCTCCTGGTCAGCAACAAAATGAATAATTTTCTAGCAGCAATAATAGCTCTGTGGTGTGTAGAGGTGAAATACATGTCTAAGTACATGAAAAGAGAGCAAAAGGTGAATGGTTCCCTATGTTTTTTTTTCTTTAACTCGTATATCTATGATGCAAGTGAATAAAGATCTTGTGAAAGTTAAGCCCTGAATTGACATTCTCGGCTCAAAGACCATAAACAGAACAGCACAGGTTTCTGTAGGGTCCTGCCAATCTGTATCAATCCTGTTGCTGCCAAACCATCTCTACAGATGAGAGGGCAGCCTGGATTGCCTGCCAGACCCATTTTTGGTTTATCTGATAAGGCTGCTGCTGAGTTAGTGTTTAATTGCTACCCTGGTGTTTGTGATGCAGACACCTCTAAACAGTTGCTGTTAATTGCAAAACAGATCACCAAGAAGGCACATTCTCTCTATTTTTCCAGTTTCTTTCTCTCTGCATTCTGTGTAAGAATCGTCTCTCTGCTTCTGTTCATCATTAATACAAATAATACAGCGAGTTAAATGGAAAAGTGGTAGTTTTTCACGCAGGTTAGGGCTATCATGGGCAACCTGGCTGCCAAAAATTTACGTATGGGAAAAGGATCTGAGGTATGTAGGACTCCAGAGTATGAGGTGAGGGGGAACAACAGCACATCACTCCAGCTCCTCAAGGATCATAGGGAGCTGTCAGCTGTGTCCTAGTTCAGTAACAGAAGCAGCATCAGCATCTACCTAGGGACTTCACCTATCCAGCCCCTCAGGCACCAAAATCCCTGTGCCTGAATGGCTCCTGAGGGAGCCACCTGACAGAGTAGCTACATTTGAGAAGCTTTTGAGTCTTAAAGGTGATGGGACAGCCATAACTGAACTGGGTTGTAGTAACAAACAGGAATATCGTGTTAAATGAGAAAAATGAGAAAATTATTGTATGTGGATTTTTGTGGATTACTGAAACTCCCCCTTTTGTCTGTGAGACTCAAACCAATGCCAGCACCTGCTGGCCTGTGTCCACATGGAGTTCAGTGAAGGAATATTGATGTGTGTTTTCTCATATGTTGAGGAAGATGATGCAAAAACATGATGAAGTCAGTGGATGATTCTGGAGTCAGTGGAATATCTGACATGGGTGTCAGTCAGTCTCCTAAGTCTCTCTGGGATCTGTTGGGAAATATGCATATTGGGACATGTAAAATCTCTCTACATTGTAAAAGATATTTATTCTGAGATAGGGCTGGGAGGGGGTAAGCCTCTGCCTCTGTTGAAGAAGAACATTGTATGTTGACCTAGTGCAGGCATTCAGTATTATGAAAGCACTTTATAAATTGGAACAAGATAAATGAATCACAACAAAAGAGCTAGAAAACCGAGGGAGACAATTGCAGGAGTGAGTGTACTCAGTTTATTCGAGCAGAACAGTTACACTCAGTGAATAGAAAATGTGCAGTGCATTTCTAACTAAGGTCAGAAAATCATATAATTCCAAATTTAGGAGAGCAGCTCCATTTTAACAGGGAAGGAAGAATTTTTTTGGAAAAAAAAGCAAACCAGCGCTGAGGTTGAGACAAATTTGAATGGAACCAGATTCTTGACCAAATTGGCTTTTCCTATCCAGCAGTTTCACATTCAGCATTTGTTACTTTGAAAGTTCACCCTGAAACCTATAAATTAATCTACTGGGACTTTAACAATTCACTTCATGTTAGGATATGAGTTATGCTCATGGATTTGTTTAGGTCACCCAGCCATGTCCTCATAATGTATCTTAGAGAGAATGCCTGTAACTAAGCAGTAAACAGAAAGACTCTTGTGTTCAGCTGCATCTCCTGGGATTTCATCCCTGCTGTCAGAGAACTGTGCAGGACAGCGCTCTAAAACTACAACAGCTAAAAAAACCTGCGTGGTGTTCTGGGAAGGAAACACTGCCAATGCTTTTGCATGCTATCAGGAATCTTTAGCTATCGATGAAACGAGGAAAGAATGTTTTCATGAACCATTCACATGGAGAAATCAAATCAATTACAATAAAGAAATCAAAGCTTTGAAATTGTGAGATTTATTGCAGAAGTCTTGCAGGATGCATCTTAGTTCAGTACAGTATTTGTCACCCAAAGATGAGATATTTTAGCTGTTACAGTTTGAGTCGCTTCAGGTGTTTATCTCCTGTCCTTATATTACGCCCCCTTATCAAAGAATTTGAAGTTTTGTCAGCAACCACGTCCTAAGGTTATAGCGGTCAAATGTAGCCAGGATATTCATCCACATCAGCTAAATGAGGTGTGATGGTGAAGAGAAATAACCACAATTCTGATCAGAAAAGCACCCAGGATTGTCAGACTAAATGTTCAAAGAACGTGAAGGGAATTATTCCTAAAAAACATTAAACTGAAGTCACTGGCTCCCAGCTGTGAGTATGACAGAGGATCAAGTCTGTGACCATACAAAGGAATTGTAGGTGATCTCTGGCCTGAACGATCTTTTGTGGATTTTTTTTGATGGATTTAGTTTTCATTTGATTTAGATTTCTAACTGAACTTCTCATACAATCCAATTTAAATACAGGGCATTTCCTTTTAGTCTGCTGCTACCAAAGAACCAAAAAAAAAAAAAAAATTACTCTTTATATTTTGACAAATGGAACATCAGATAAGTCCCTATATCTCTGTTAGATAATTTTTTCCTATTTTCAATTCATCCTGGAGAAATAGCACCCTAGAACATGGTCAGGAAATACTGTCTTTGACTTCAGTTTTCCCAGGACTAAGTTCCTAGTTCACGTGTCACCAGTCCATCTGCCTCTCATTTTTCATGGGTCATAACCACACTCTGGAGAGAGCAGCATATTTCTCTGTCTACATGTCCTTTCCAACTGCAGGATTTCCATACTACAAGATTTCTTTTTAGATATACATCTGAATCTTTTGACTTCTGTCACAAATTTTGGAACTATTCATTCAGACACAGAAACACAGTCAGTGTACAGTTAAATTTCCAGCATTACTTTTTCATTCTTTTTTTTCCTATTGTTGACAACACCTTGTTAAAAGACAAGACATTGATCTAAGTATTGTTTTCTGCTGCTCCTTTATTTCCTCGGGTTTTTTAGTGGAGAGAGTAACATTTAGAGGAAAAAAGGAATGATTATTTGTATAGTTGACTTTTCAAGGTGGAGAACAAAGGCAAAGATTGGATCTGCCTATTTCACTAGAAAGGTTTGCATTCAGAGCTTTGTAGTGGTAGAGTTTTCTAGCAGCTCTACCACATGGGGATTGTGGGTTTGGGTATTTTTTTGAAAGAGAAGCATTGCTATCAATTTGTTGTACTGTACCTGCCTTTCTATTAACTGAACTTTCAGTCTTCATGTTTTACAGAGAAAAACTTGCCATGTATTTTTGTTTCCTGTCTTCCAGCCTCTGCAGCTTGACTGTGACCTCTGTGCCGTCGTTTCAAACTCGGGCCAGATGGCTGGCCAGAAGGTGGGGACCGAGATAGACAAGTCCTCCTGCATATGGAGGATGAACAACGCTCCCACGAAGGGCTACGAGGAAGACGTGGGGAAAAGGACAACCATCAGAGTGGTCTCTCACACCAGTGTGCCTCTCCTGCTCAAGAACCCCGAGTACTTTTTCAAAGAAACCAACAGCACTGTTTACGTGATCTGGGGGCCTTTTCGGAACATGAGGAAGGATGGGAATGGCATCGTGTACAACATGCTGAAGAAAACCGTTGACAGCTACCCCAGTGCCAAAATCTACGTGACGACGGAGAAGCGCATGAGTTACTGCGACGCGGTGTTCAAGAGGGAGACAGGAAAAGACCGGTAAGTGAAGAACAGTTGCAGTGTTTGACAAAAGATACATGAGAAAAGGCCATGCCGGATGCCAGCTACTGAGTGAGTCCCCAGATACATTTTTAATGGATTGTTATATGGTTTTGACTGTTATAAGCACTTGATGAGGCAGCAGCTAGGCCCCATTTACCCCACCTACGCTACCTTCTGTTCGTTCCATTTCTGTTGGCTTAAGTCCCAAAAATATTGGATATCTTCCTGAAACGTTTTCAAAGCTGTGTGTTGTTTTCAGCTCAATTTACTATTGATTAAGTTGACATTTTATTTGAAGAGGATAATCCGACACAAACAACATTTCCAAATACACAACCTTGGGATAATTCTGGATATTGTATTTTCTTCTCAGTTGAGAGTCTCTGTAGCTTTTCTTCAAATGCTGACCTCGGGGTTATGCATTATTTCTCTTTCTTGGTGAAAATGGATTATCAGTGATACTGTAATAGGTTTAGGTTTTTACCAGAATTATACTGAAATTCTATTTTCATGTCCAATAATTTGCGTTTATGCTGCTCAAGTGGGGGCTGTAAGAGATGGAAGTGTGAGGGCCACTGTATTTGCTGGCATGGTCAAGGTAGAAATTGGATTTGTGGAATTAAGACCACAAAGAGCAGGAATTTGCAACCGAGCTGCAAAAATTCAGATCATCTGTGTTTTGGCAGGGAAGAACACTTGTCACACATACTCACTTGAGTTAACTAGGAAGGAGTTTTCAGATCACTGCTGTGTCTTAATATTAATTTTTGAATTTGCACGTCATGAATTTGAGGTTGTGAAGAACTACAGCTATTCTGACCAAATTAAAAATATTCACAAACAGTTAAATGCAGTCTGAACTTTTGACAGCTTTTAAAGTAGAAGAGCTTGTTCTCTCAAACTTGTTTCACTTTGTTATTAAACTGTCAACATTTGGTTACAGTTGATTTTTCCTATTTTTTAAACTTTGAAACATAGGGAAGAGCTTGCCCCTCAGCTTCTTCACCATGTGCACATGTTGCTGCTGTGATTCTGGAGTCAGAGGGAGCTCATATATGTCATAAAGTTGTCAAGGTTATCATGGCTTCTTTAGTTTAATTGAACAAACTGATGAAGAGGCTAATAGAGGAAATACACAAGATCCATTCTTCAAAATTGACCTTTAATAATCCAAGTCATCCTGTTTACATATTAATCAAGGTAAATATGATCATGGGTACATTACTGCACTGCTAAAAATAAATTTGTTTATATTTATGAGTCAGTCAGGTCACAGCAACTTTACAATACTTTATCAAAATCCTTATTGTGAGACCAGCCCTTGACAAAAATGTCCTATTTTTCCTTTGGAAAAATCTCATCATTCAATGTCAAAGTATCCTCATCTCCAGCCTAATCCACTCCTCTTCAACAAATTAACACATCTCTGGCTTTATAGTTACGCAATTAACACAATACAAATGCTTCTTTTCATGTCAAAAGCAGATTGAACTTCGCTTCTCCCACTGCTTATAACAAAGTTCTTAAGCAGCCTAAAGTCAAAGTGACCCATGTTCTTTCTCCTTAAGCTTCACCTTGTGAACAGTGGTAAATTTTTATGAGCCTGTCTCATGGCCCACATCACATGGCGTGTGCATCCCTTTGACCCTGTGAAAAACCCACCAGTTCTCACACTGGCAACCAGATTAAATCCTTGTATCTACTGCAACTTTCACTTTTAGCCCTACTTTCCCACATCAAATACTTAGTGATGTCTTTAACATCATTTAACGCTCTCGTCAGCCAGAAACAAGGGAAATGATTGGTGTGTCACCAGCCAACACCTTCTGTATCTCAGGAAAACATCCTGCTGTTCCCTACTAATCGGGGACCTCAGTTTGGAAGCTGTTTCATTTTCTGTAACATCTTCAATTTGCAGGACCTGTCTGCTGTTTCTTGGGAGGGTCATGAGGTTGTTAGATGGATGTGGCGTTTGTGGCAGCGGTAAACGGAGAACACAAGAGATTTGTGGGCGATGAAAATAGTTTCGTGCGCTGTGCCAGGCTGTTGTGAGGCTGAGGCAAACTCAGGTTCCTCAGCCAAATATTCCTTTGGCTCCTCAGAGAAACACCAACCTTTGTTTGGAATATTAGATTGAACAGAGGTCTGTTTCAGCATGTTCCCAGCAAAAATTCTGGAAGGAAGCCAATTTCAACTCATATTTTAAAATGTACTGAGTGGATTGCAACCACATCTATTTTAGTTTAATCCTAAAATACTGTCTTTAAATACAGTGTATAGTACTAATGCATATTGAGATTGCAACAGATTTCTAGTCTGTCGAGCCTTTAATGAGCTTTCTGTTTCTACTCTTTGAAGTACAATCTTTTTAGGTAATGAGTGGGATTTTTCAGTAGTTTCATCCTTGTGGTGCTGAAGTTTTTAAAGGGTGTTGTGAGAAGCAGCTGACAGGTATGTGTTGCAGACACTTCTCTACTGCAGAAAAGCTCTGGTCCTGCAGAGGGAGGTTTATCCCTGACTTCACTGGGTGCAGGTTCACAACCCACAGCTTTGGTATTGACCAGTGGTTTATTGTTGATGCATGGAAGAAACAAGAATTGCCTCTAAATAACTTCCAACAAACAAGGTCGTGTATTTTGATACAAAGCATTTTTTTTAATTCTACAGCAGTACAAAATACCCTCTGATATTGGCTATCCACACTGGATAATTAACCTTGCATGCACATTAGGAATCTGGGGGACACATGTTCTTTCTGAGAGTCTTTGTTAGTGAAGCATTTGAGTTCAAGGTGGTGAATGCTCATCCACTTTGAATAATTGTTGTACATAAATAATATTCATTATCAGACATTCAAAATTTTTCATTAATGTATTTTACTTGGTACTTCCCTAGAGGGAACATAAAGCTGGCAGCTTCTTCCAGTTCTTCACAAATGTTTTGTTGTATTATATATATTGACTCAAGTGAAAAGATTTAAAGAAATATTAGATAATTTCTAAATGTGGCACCTTTGTATGTACCTCAATTGAGATAAGTGGTTCTAAAGCCATCTATATCTTTGCCATGCATTACAAATATAATTCAATATGGTATAATAACATTTAATTGGTAATAACAGAGAAAACTGTAGTCTTCATTAAAGCAGCAAAGCTAATTCTGGTCTGATAAAGTGCACTGAGCATCCCTAAATAGGTTTTAATTAGCTGGCACCAAAGCTGCACCACCCTTAGGGAGGGTAAAATTAATGAAAACTAGCAGCAAATAGATCAATGCTACTGGATGTTATTGCCTTAGGTGAAGGTGATGAGAAAGAAAGGAGTTTCTTTTAAGGATCATTTAGAAAACAGTCCGCGTTAAAAGTCACTTTCAAAAAGCAATGCTAAAATAAATCTGTGCTCATATCGGTGAAGCAGTCTAATGTTAACTGGACTGCAGACTCCATTTGTGTTTATACTACAGACATCTTAGTGGAGGACACTTAGCCCCAAAAACCCAGCGAGTACCGAGTATCCTGATACTGCTCAAAGCACAGCTCAACTTGGGTGTTTGTAGCCACTCTTCTTGTAGGTAACTACCAAAAAAGAGCTTTGTTGCCTAAAGAAAATTCAGGGAGAAAAAAAAACTCTGAGGCAAATTAGTTTTGGAGGTGAGATAAGGAAAGGGTTTTTAATTTGTGCCTTGGCATAAAGATTACATGTCCCTCTGTACAGATGTTACAGTTTATAATGTTGTCTGTCCAATCCCAGATGTTTCCACCCTGTGGCTTTTGCCCTGATCCACCCTCGGTCCACCCCTTGGGAATTGGGGCTAGGGGTTTTTTGAGGCCCCCTTTTCATCAATCATCACCTTCTTCAGAGTACAAGGGGCATATATTCACCCAGTTCTTGACTGTACTATTGCGGTTTAGGCCAAGGTACAAGTGTTCTCTAAACAAAATAGGCCTACCTTGACAAGAGACTAAACATTTCTACTGGAATTCAGGGGATAATTGATATGGGGAGCATGGAACGGGGTGATAGGGTTGGGGAATGTGTGCAGTTACTATGCTAAGGGTAAAGGAAAAAATGCTGCTGCTTCTAAATCTACTTCTACTATATAACTACTTATAAAGCTTATAAAAATTAGGAACATTTAAAAAACCAGTTGGACCTTAAGGCATCAGCTTGCTGAGCTCTGCTGAGGAGATGTGTTCCGAGATCCTAAAATTCCTGTTAGGAGATGTGAGATAATGTTCTGAAACCCAGCCAGTTTGGTAGACAGCTGGCTTTCCACACACAGTCTTAGCTCTGACAGCACCCATCCCATACCCAAACAATTCAGTTCAATTCAACAATGGGGTTTTTTTTAGATTATTGGCTACACATGCCTGCCTACAGGAGGCAGGTTCACCGAGCCACGTTTGCAGTCAAATGGCTGTTTCTGAAAGACTTTTGTAAATATCATGGACAATTCTGAAGAAACTAAATTGCTTTTGTGCTTCTCTTCAGGTTGTTCTTAGTTTCCTCTGTTCGTGCCAGATGGTGCTGGGTTGTGTTAGGTTGTGAGGAAGCTGTTTTATCATTCAAGCAGAAAGATGGATCATTCTGATCGCTGACTTCTGCGTCAAGATTCAAAATTTGGGGGTGTGCTCAACCTGCTATTTTACTCAGTTCTGCTCACTAATTATTTATTACTTTGGTGATATACGAGATCTATATTTTATCTCTGTCATTTAGAGGCAGCAAATTATATTAATCTAAAGTTTGGATTGACACTGTTAAGACAACTGCAGTCATCACAGTTTCACCTTAGCTAATATGTGGTTTTTCATGTGTCTGACTAATCTACACGAAGCTATAGTCTAGCAAAAATGTCAGTAAAATGAATAAATGAAATTACATTCTCTGAGGCTCAAGTAGCTGCAACTTCTATTGTTTGGTGATATTCTCTGTGAATTGAGGTAGTAAAGCTGTCAGTATCCAGAACATCAGAGTTTTATGCCATCTTTCTGGTTG